ATCCTTTAAAAAAAGAGCAAAAAAAAAAGAGGAAAAGCATAATGAAAAATAAGTTAAATAAGGACTCCTGTTTGCATAAAATCTGCCTGTGTTAATTTCTTTATATAGTTGTCAATTTAGAAATAATTATAAATTGAAATGCAGTTCAACTGACTATAGAGCAGAAATTTGTGGTCAGGTGACTTGTTTATCTGCCTGCCTTTTCAGTCTGCTGGTCAGGTGCTAACTGTTCATTAACAACAGTTCTTACTGTTCTTTAATTTTAAAACAGGACAGGACAACTCTTCAAACAGCTCAGTTTCAAAAGTGGTTTGCTGTGTAGCATGGTATGTTGTTCAACAAAAACAGCCCATCCTTGGACTCACAGAACTATATAATCATGATTTCAACTTTGGCTGTAACCTTAAGGAACTGCAGTAATCTTCTGATATTTATAGTAAAGCAGTAACACAACTGTTCTGAACATTGTGTACCACATAAAGTCTATAGAAAGAAGAATGAAATAGAATTAATTTATTTATTAGGAAATTTATACCTCGTCTTTCGGCATACAACCTTCCCAAGGCATTCAACATGAATAGCTTTGAAAAATGAGCATGAAAAATGCTTGCTTATGTTTTAATCAATAGGAGAGGAATTCATACATTTCAAAGATGTGGACAATTCATGTGTACATTTGAAAAAATAGGCATGAAAACATTCATGGATTTTCATGCAAGAAGAAATAAACAAAACACACAGTCTGACACAGAATTGAGTGAACTTTGAGGTAGAACACTGGTGAGTTTGAATTTTGCTGATTTGCAGATCTTTGTGCCATGCAACAATGACTTTTAGGCCCAGGAAAGGAATAAACATGTTGTGCATTGTTAGTTGCATTTGAGCACATATCCTTATTTACATTCAAGCATAACTAGTTATCTGTGAGCATCTTGTGTGTGTGTGGCCATAGAAGCAAGCTTATTCCTTGGGATACATGTATGGATTCATGTTGTTTTTGTGCGCCTCTGATTATAGCCAACATATAATTTGCATTTATTTGTAGTTGTTGCTCACATGTAACCTATACATTTATGTCTAATAACTGGCTAAAACAGGTGAAACAGGAAGTACCCAAACTTACCCTTGAACCAATACAAAGGGCAGGAAAAATGATTTTGAAAAATATTTAGACTCTGAAAAGGGTACTTTGTTGGGCTTTTGGTGTTTAGACTGAGGAAAGGATGTTCTTGCTCTTGATCCTGACTGGAAGTGTGGCTGTCTGGGGAGCAGGGAATTTTTGTACCTGTCTCAGGTGCAGAAATTTAAATTAAGCAACCATTTTTAAAATCTTATGAAGAGGGTCTATGAGTTCTTCATCCTAACCACAGATGCAGCCTGAAATTCCAATAAAGGATCGAGGAACACCTGAGGGAATAAGTGGTAAAGGTATGCTCAAATCCATTCAACAAGAGAAATTCTCAATTTTCAAAGATAATGAATGCCAGTTTCCCCCTTTCTGCCACTTTTACAGCACGATGATAATTTTCTCACTTTTCTCCATTTATCACCATAGCACTGAAACTTCGACCTGGCTTTCCTTCATCACTAACATAAGTATTAAATTCAAGTTTTCCATCCTCAACTTTAGTACTTAACTCAATTCCATCTACATACCTATTTTGTCTTTGCTTATTAACTTACTCCCTTAGCATCATCCTTATCATCAATAATTTTTTGCATTTTGCTTGGACCAAATTTTGTGCCTGCTAAATGTTTTAAATTGGATTCTGAGATCTTCCATTTAGTGACAACACAGATGATCTGACTTTAGTTCTATAGGAAAACCAGACATGCTTCAATTTTTAATTAATTCTATTCATCCAGATTTGACCTTCTAAGCCATTCTTAAAAGTGGAACCCTCTTACAACACTGCTTTATCAACCATACAACTATCATTCTATGCACTAATGTGAAAAGCAAGCAACAATATATAGTGGTCTTCACATTTACAACTAAACTGAAAAGAATTGTATTGACTTGTGTTTCTGTCATGGCTGACCAATACCTCTCAGCATTCATGATTTGGGACTTGCTTAATAATTTTTGTAGCCATTAGGCAATAGAATTAGATTAGCCTTTCATTGGGAAGGAGTAAGTCCAAAGTTCAGAGTCAGTGGTTTTCTTTTTGCTTTGTTTTTCTTTTTGTTTTAATTCCCATTCAGAGACCCTTTCTTGATCTTGGCTGCATTGGTTTTACCAAGGTGGCACACATTTATAAGCAATTGGCAGATTGTTAGGCATGTTCAGTGAGACTAGAGTCTTAAAAACTAGCAATTTTATTTCATTCTTTCTTAAATGAGCTACTAAAGTTTTTAAATCCATTTCTAAAACATAAGTTTGGCTTAGTACTTCAGTCACTGAAACTAGGTTTAATGGGCATTGACAGTTTGTTCAGACTAAGTAATGACTACGAATATAGTGATACACTATACATAGTACAGAACACTGACTTTAGTCAATAACAGGACATGCATTTTTATAAGGTTTTGCAATGCTTGAGAAATTGTGGGATGCTGTACTACTCCTGTGTTTGCCTGAAGATGGTCTTAGGAAAACTGGATCACATGTAATATGCCTTCCTTCATCATTGTAGCCTCCATGCATCACACATTATGGGTGCTGTGCCTGTGCAGTGCCTTTAGCCGGGAAGATTTAACAGCTTCAATGGTTTTGGTGGGAACTCCCCCCCACCCACATAGTATAAATGGGAGGAAGAAGACTGTTCTAGCCTTGTACCTCTTTGTGTCTATACTAAGAGTGAAGGGTAGATAGTTTGTCTTACTTTGAGGATGCATTGTCTTTGGAGTAAGAATGGCCTGCCTTTGACAGCTCTGAAAAAAATTGACCAGGGTATGAACAGGGTTATAATAGCATACTTGGCTCTTCTCAATTCATTCTAGACAAGTCAGTGGATTCAAGGGTGCCAGATTTACCATAAGTGGAAATAGAGTGCGCATTGGATTACAGAAGCCCTTGGTTTAATGGTGACACTTTCAAGCACCATCATCCAGTGGTCACACTGTCTGCCTTGTCTGGGTGAAGCCACACGCACTGGTGCTCCTAGGCATGAATCCTACCCCAGTGTACCTATAGTTCACTGAGGCAGAGATGCTCCAGGACAGGAGATGGGACTGCCAAATACTATCTTCAGGACTACTCCCCCTGGGTTCAAGCTGTCTTGACTGCAAAGCTACAGGCTGGTGATGGACATATGCCACCTAGTAACTAAAGGTAGTGTTGAAGACTTCAAACACATGGACATATTTAAATAAATTGAAATTAATGAATGCATCTTAGAAACTAGATAACTTTGATATGTACACCTTAATATGCACGCCAAGTTTTAGATGTATGTGTTTCCTAGTCTTGGTAGCTATGGTACTGGCAGGCAGGCAGACATCCTCTTTTATTATTGGGGTGAATATGTTACCTTATTTTATGGTAATCAAACTTAGCTTGTATGGGAAATGCATATATGTAAATAGTTTGCAGCAGTTTTCTATTGCTTTTTACACTAACAAAGAATAATCTTAAGAACTTCATGTTTGGTTATATGTCATAGCCAAGGGGTATTGCTAAGATCCCAGGCTTCAGCAGCAGAACAAGTAAGTACTCAGTATATAAAGGAGAGCTGGGAAATCGGAGCTCAAAAAAAAAAAAAAAAGCAAAATCCACATTATTCACCCTAAATATTTTATTGCTGCAGAATCTTTAGGCTTGTAAACTGTTTGTTTAGGGACTGTATGACATGGCAGTGGAATGGAATATAAAGAAAATGGTCAGTCTGTTCCTTAAAATACTCTGTGGGAGCCTCCCCTACTGAAGTGAGTGAGACTTTTGCTAATCAGTGGTTTGAGCAGCATGGACTTAGTGAAAGATTCAGAAAACTAGCATTTTTCCATAAAGAATCCAAAGTACTTACTCTGACCTTATACATACATTTGTCTAGCCACTGAGTCATTGAGCATATATAGTATTGTGTAACTTTTATTTCTTTGGAGGCTTGTTATATTAGAAAAATTGTTCCAAAGAAAGCAACAATTATGACATAAGCACATCTGGCTCTTGCAAATTATTCTTTATTAAGCTTTCATTTAATTACATGTGCTGAAAGGTCTGTTTTTGATTACTGTAATTTTTTTATTTGTCCATCTGAATGACAGTAATGTTGGAAATTACATATAACCACCTGTTTTTTGTGTGGGGGGGTATTTTTATTACTAATAAGGGGAATTGTATACAGATTTATTTGTGAGAGTAGGAATAGGATCATTCTTGTTTATAGTGGTAGAATTATTGCTGTTGCTAATTCAAGGTGAGATTTTAAGGTTGGCTGCTAGAGGGAAATTAAATCTATTTAGTTTTGTTCGGGAAATACTTTATAATGTTTCAGGAATATGACTTAATTGCACATCTTCTGACAGGATTATTTGCAACTCCTGAGAAGTTAAAAAGTTAAGTGTAAGTTCCATAGTAATATTTAAAGTTGTACTTTTATTTCCATCTTTACAAATAGGGGATTGCACTTCTGTTCATGTTAGAATTAAAAGATACTATGTATGTAAATTCTTATACTACAGGTAGAAATAAAAATAGCTGATTGCTTCTTATGAATGAAAAACAGGATGGCATTAAATAAAAGGCATTCATTGCACATTGCTGGAATGTTCTATAATTCCTGAAAGGTACTTGTTATTCATTTTTATTTTTTTTTAAATGTACTTCAATAAATGGGCTTGGAATACCCATTCTGGTAATTTTCTAGGCCTGGTACAATATCCAGACAGTTAACCATTTTTGTTTGTTTGTTTGTTTTGTTAAGGTGCCATTTTGATTTTAACTCAGATATCACTCCTTTTGAACAGGATTGTCTTAAAGGACTTCCAGAAAGATGAAGGGTCTCTGGTAATCACACTTCCATGGTCTATTCCTGCCGCTTAGGAATATTTGGTTCAAGATTTCTTAAAAAGAAAACTTACTCTCATTTTGCAGCAACTCTATGCCGCTCAGTTGGCCAGCATGCAGGTTTCGCCTGGAGCAAAGATGCCCTCCACCCCTCAGCCACCAAACACAACAGGGACGCTCTCACCTACTGGGATGAAAAATGAAAAAAGAGGGACCAGTCCTATAACTCAAGTTAAGGTATTTCTTTGCATTTGCAATCTTGCAAACTTCCTCTGATATTCAGTAACCACGTAATTCACTGTACTCTGGCATTTATTTAAATATTTCAGGTAAGACGGAGCAAGAACTGTCAACTTGGATGAACCAAGGCCATCCAAGACTTAACTATGTTGCTGTTGACATAACCACACATCAGTCATAGCGAGTCAGGAGCCTTGCTCTTGCCAAGGCTCCTTGACTTTGACTCTTTTCTGGCTCCCTGTTGTCTCTGATTGTCCATGCGTATCTAAGGTTACGGTCTTACCAGCTCTGCACTCAGTGCACGTAAGCCTCCAAATCTATCTTTGCCATCCCATGCCTTGCACCCTACATTTCATTAAGTTGGCCATTTCCAGCCATCTAGATGAAGCCCTTGCAGAAGGAGAGGGGAAGTGTTATGACATGGGTGCCACTTACATATGGTGTAAGCTGTTGGTCTCAGCCTCCTCCCATCCCCATACCTCTTTTCCTCCTCTTGGTAGCAGCTGGCATGATTCTTTTCATGCTGGATGCAAAGGGGTGGTGTGGGGCTCTGCATTTGGAATCCCAGCTCCAAGGTTGCAAGTCTGCATAGCTGGATCTCCAAATAATTTTATGGCTGCTCAGAAAATGTGGTAGGCTGTAAGATTGTGCTGTAAATATATCAGAAGTGGAAGTGACTGAGGTGATTGTTATTCCAAGAAAAGTAATGGTACAAACCAGGATTTATTTTCTACCAATAGCACAACTCTAAACTGCCAGTTCCTGTCATGCATTATTTTATCACTGGGGATATTACATTGTTGTTCTTAAGAAAACATGTATGAGAAGGTAACATAAAGAGGTGATATGGATTCACCAGTTTGATTCCTAAACATGGGCAGCCTGAAAAATCCCAATGGCTGAGCAGTCATAAGAGGCAAAGATGCAGTGACTTTGCAAAGTTCTATATTTAGCATAAACTGGACAGGACATCTATGATATGTGATGTGTAACGTGGTAGCATTTGCCTCAATATTACTAATATTGCATTGGTAAGAATGGTAGCCATGGCAAAAAGGGGTGTTTTGGAAGGATTAGCCTTTACTATGTGCAATGGCAAGGGAGGCAACACCCTTCTACTTATTTTGCAAATCGATCATTGTTTTGAAAGAAGGCTCAGATAAAAATAAAAAGAAAAAAAAGTAAGGTCATCACTGCCGATTGATTGGGAGGAAAAAAATGCCATGACTGCAGATTGATTGGACCCTTGTTGATACCGCACTGTTGCTGGTATTTGGCTTGCTTCTGTTTGGTTTTGATGTATTGTCAAAAGCTCATGAATGCTTAATTGTCACTTTCTTAGAACTAGGAAGCAGCAGTGTAGTGCTTGGCAGCAGCATGCAACAACTAAGCTCTTTCCAGCTTTTTGTGGGCAGCTGGAATTTATTTGTTTGTTAAGATCAGATGATGTAGGATCCAACATCCTCCTACTCCCCTGCCTCCCCCCCAGAAGACAGTAATACCATTTTTTAAAATAAAATAAAACAGAGGTTATAATATGTATGGACAATAGAAATATAAATATGGCATACATTTACAACGAATGTATAAAATATGATAGCTCTTACACCAAACCAAATTAGCTTTAGTTCAGCAAAGGAATTCCAAATTGTCCCCCGCCCCCCCCAGGAGGGAGGGAAAACCCCACTGCATTGTTTTCAGATTTTGTGTGCATGCACAGACAAGTGGAATTCATATCAGAGCAAATTGATTGCCTGATGATCCAGTTTCTTTAAAGCCTTCTTTCTGTGAATTTACAGTTATGGAACCATTGATTTTGGACAATATATCATGGATTAGATAAACAAGACCAAACTTAGCATATTCAAAATGAGAGAGCTGCCCCAGGCAGTGGAGGCTCAGAGCATGTGGCAGCTTTTCTGGCAGCTGGCAGCTTTGTGGCCATTCCTCCTCCCCTGAGTTCTGCCATTACTTTCCCATTGAAATAGCACTCCTGCAGATGAAATGCTTCCTTGCTGGCCTGAGCTGTCTGCCTTTCATGTCTGGTAGGCTGGCCCACATGGATCAGCAGCAGAGCCATTGGGAAAGGCTGCTCAGTAAGTTAGCAGGCAGAGAGGCCAGCCCGGAAGATACATTCCAGCAGGCATAACATTTGTACTTTGCTTGTGTGATGCATGCTAGTTCAACCAGTGCTGTATTACAGCACCGATTGGCAGCAAGCAGATACTAGGCAAAGTGCTTAAGCGAACCAGGACGTGGTGGTAGAGAATAAGACTGTGTGTGCTGTGCAGCCTGTCCTGTGCCCCTAAACTAGCATGCTGACCTTAGATACAGTGGAAGATACTGTCCCAACAGGAGTGTACAAGTAAGATTCAACTGCCGGTTTAGTCAAATTCAGTGCATTGAATTCTGTGTGTATTTAAGAGTCAGTGTGGTGTGGTGCTTAAAGTGTTGGACTAGGAACCTGGGAGATCTAGGTTCTGGTCCCCTCTTGGCCAGGAAGCTCACTAAGCCACTCACTCTCAGCTTAACCTACCTCACAAGGCTGTTGTTGTGAGGATAAGGAGCTGTGTAAGCAACCTTGGATCCTTCAAAAGAGGAAAAAATGGGATATAAATTCAATGTAATAGTGTAATAATGAATGTAATACAATAATATTTGTGTGATACAATCTTATATGTGGTCTCAGGCAGCCAAATGTGAGCAAATATGAGGGGATATATGAGGATGAGGATTCAGATATGTTTAAAAGAATGCTCTTAACCCTGCGCTCAGATGATCTCTTCAAAGAGCTGTCCCGAGATGTCAAAGTGGTGGTCAGGGTACCACTTTTTAAAATAAATAAATAAATAAATAAATAAATAAATAATAAAGAGATCTAAACTATTTATATTTTTTGGGAGAAAAGTATGAAAGTATAGATTTTGTCATAGGAAAGACAGCAGACATTACATCTTCCAGGCTAGTGCTTAAAAAAAGAAATGAGAATATTGGATGCTTATACAGAGTAAAACTGAAAGGAGCTAAAGATATGTAGATGCTTGTTAGGATGGAATAGAACAATATAACTAGTCCACCAAAAATCAGCCAGGAGGATGTTCCCAACAGTCCTTAAGGAGTTCTAATGTTATTGTCTCAAAAGCCATATCATTGTCCCAACACTATCCTTTATCTCTTCCTGATAAAGGACTATATTTTCAGTGCATGCTACAGATTAAAATTACTGGAAGGGCTAATGCCTATATAGCAATCGTCTAGAAATAATGTAAGTTGTAAAGAAAGTGCAGTAATATAAATATTATTTATTGGTTGCATTGGCTTAATTAATGGGTTATACATGAAAAGATGTACCATGTAGAATCCTGACTTGACAGCAAGAAGAATGGCAATGATAAGATAATGGAGTATATTATTGTATTCTTTCATATATTTCTAAGCTTTGAAGTGTTCAGTGCTGTCTGCTAAAATATAGATGATGCACCCTTATATCCAGCATCTCTCAGCTTTGGGCATATTTTAAATGAGAAAGTCATGTTACCAGGCTCGTTTCATTTTAATTACAGAAAATCAGTATTCTGCTATTCCAAAAATGCTGTGCCTGGCTGATTGCTAACAAGTTCAACACAGGGTATAAGCTCTCTGACGAACAGGGCATGGTTGCGTTGTAAAGGGGAGTGCTAGATCAAAAGAACAAGTTTCTTAGATTTTTCCTTTCTAGAAGCAAGATGGGTCTCAAGATTCTACTTGCACAGGGTCTTGCTATGTGAATCCTCCAGTTCTATTCTTCTCAGTTCTCTGACATAAAACATAACACAAAGCAAGTGACTATATCTCATAATGATATGGCCATGAATCTACTTCACCAAATTCACCTTATCTAGATATACATGTATGCCATAAATTAGGCATTGGCTCTTTTAATGCTGTAAAGAATATTCCAAAAGCATAGTCTGACCTTTATAATATTTAACAGCAATCATATACCAGTTCCACTTGAACAATGCCAGGGATGTTTTAAACAAAACTGTAGAAATGGTGATCCATCTGTGTACACAGGCTGATCAGAATACAACATATTTTCATTACAGCATATGCAGTTTGGTGTGGTCTAGCCAAGGACAAGGTTAGCATATGCTACAGCATATGACAACAGAGATTCTTCTTTGTGCCTCATACATATGGGCTCTGCATCTGCGTGGAGTCTGTTACTGGAAGATTCAATAGCTGAGAGCATTTTGGTGGAAACCCCTCCCCCACCCTGGTGTCCATAAAAAATGGAGATGTTCCGGCCATTTCCCGCAGTTCTTCTCCAACTGCCTTCATTGCCTCGGGAAGTTCTTTCTCTCTCTTTGACTAGATTTTTCTCTGAGTGTTTATTCTCCTTCTTCTTACTTTAAATGTGGTGTTTTGGTCTATATACCTTTTTTTCTTTTCCTCACAGGCTTTCTTCCTCAAAATCTGCTCCCTTTTTGACCTACCAATCAACTCCCCAAGCCCTCTTCATGCTTCTCTCTATCAGACCTGCCTTAGACATTTTTCACTGTTTTTCTCTTTCTCCTCCCTTCCTTGCTTCTTGATGGCAATGAAGGAGCCATTCAGGAAGTGCATGCGGTACAGCACTGAGTTGCCTCCAATGTTTGAGCACACACTCTGATTTCTGTGCTTGGGTGAGAGGCATATGGTCATCCAATGCTCCCACTGTTGGGCCTTTACTAAGCAGGCCCGCAAACCTGCATAAGATCCAGTCTGACCCAATTTTGGAAATTAAAGACCCAATCTGATCTGATTGTGGCAATTTAAATTTCTGTGCTGTGACTGCTGCAGCACTGATACAGAAACAGTAATCAACTAGTGCACTTCATAAGCACTGCAGAAATAGCATGCATGTGCTTCTGGGTTTTTTTTTACAGGATTGGTCTCTAATAGCTCCTGGTACTGTATAGAAAAGGCCCTGACCTCATGACTTGAGGCTAAATGCAAAAATTTGCTGTCAAATGCCAGTAATATATCAGAGTTTAGGTCAATTGGAGTCCATGATAACAGATAAGATAGTTTGCTTGTGCCATTTTAGCAGTTGTAGTTCAAGACATGAGCAATATCAGCATTCTTTTAAAAAGTTCATTAGCAACAGTTCCAATGGATGTCGTCGGATCAGGGTGCAACTTTCATTATTTTATAGTTTTGCCAAAAAGCTACTCTAAATGTAACTGCCCCCCACCCCTGTTCTTCCAGATCTTTGGAGGAAAAGGTAAAAATATAGCTCCATGGAGTTTATACACTCAGAAAGTCATCTAGAAAATGGCTGTAGTAGGGTCATGGATGTATAGAGATGAACTAATATTAGTGTTTAAGTTATATAGGGTGCATCCCTGTATATGGTCAGGCATTATAAATTGCTATAACTTCCAGCATTACCCAGCCAGAATGCTGGGAGTTGTGAGACTGCTTTCTATCTAAACATGGATAGGATTGTGTCCTATGTGTTTTCCTTATTTAATTTCACTCATCAACACCCATAGACTTCTGTATCTCTCTCTCTCTCTCTCTCTCTCTCTCTCTCTCTCTCTCTCTCTCTCTCACTCACAGACACACACAGAGAGAGAGAGAGAGAGAGAGAGAGAGAGCGAGCGAGCGAGCGCATTCTAATTTCAAAAACTTTTCAAGTAGGCCAGTAAAGGAGCACAAAAGAGCTTTTTGGATTAAAAAAAACTTTGTAAATGCTCTGGGTTAATTCAGATATAAGAAAATATATTAGGAAATTAAGCGGTAGTGTGAGCTAATTCAAATTTTAATTTGTCAAAACAAGTTATCCAGCTACATAGTTAATGTAAACAGAGGCACAGCACAGAGCAATTAATGAGGGTTTCCTTTCCTTGAATCTTCAAGAAGTGTAGATAATTAGCTTTTTTGTTATTATTGCAGGAAAATGCAGCATTGTCTGGGAGGTGTAAAATAACTGTGGCTTCCTAAATGATAATGTGTTTCATTTGTCTATTTTTAATAATTATTTACATTAAACTCTTCTAGGATGATGCTGCGCAGCCACTGAATCTCTCAGCCAGACCCAAGACAGCGGAACCTGTCAAATCCCCATCATCACCAACACAGAGCCTCTTCCCTACTAGTAAAACCAGCCCAGTGAATGTGGTCAATAAAAGTGGAATCCCCAGCCCTATTGGTACAGCTCTGGGAAGAGGATCTTCTCTAGGTACTCAGAAGGGGAGAAATGGGGATGATTTAAAAAAGGGATGGACTGCCTCTAGTATTGCATGGTATACTTTTCTTTTTTAATTAAAAATAGGCCACTGTCAGCTTTTGATAAAATTTTAAGATGACTGAACTCTGCTCTAGGAAAGTTTATGCCATAATACATCTGTTACTCTTTATGGCGTTGCAAGACTCTGTTGTTTTATGCAACAGACTTAACAAGGTTATCCCTCTGGTAATTATTTGTTTTATATCCCACCTTTCCACTAAAAGGAAAAAAAGGTGCTCAAAGTGAGTGACAATAGGTAAATACTGATGAAAACAATCTTAGATAAAACATTAAAAACAGTTACAAACACAACAATAAAAAGAACAGAAATGCACCTAACAAGTTAATCCACCTCTAAGCACACAAGACACTGATCTTTATTAAGTAAATCTGAATCTGCATTTGGAACTTCAAGAGTGTTGTGCTAGATCAGACCAAGGCCTATCTGAGCTAACAAGATTTTCAAGAACCCTTGAATCCTGCAGGTTTTAAGGGTTCCACTAGCAATTGGTTTGAAGTTAATTAGTAGACTGTGAGCTGACTTCAGGCAATTTCTGATGTAAAAAATGGAATACTTGTCTCTTAAGGTCACAGATTTCCAACAGTGTGTTTCTAAGTATTTTCTAGATGTAGCATATTTAATCCTTCTGTGCAGTCTTTCATTCTGGGAACAGATCCCTGCCTTTTCCTGATCATATCTCTGTATAGTATAAGGTAAATACAGATCTTTTAGTAAATTCCTAGGTAATTTGACATAGGTTGGCAAGGATCTCTGGACCCCAATTTCTTAACTGTAACAACAATGTATATTTTTTGAATGAAAGAATTGTCAGCTCTTTTTGGTTCTGATAGTCAAAATAACATTTCTGGGCTCAGAATTTTTAATTCTAATTTAATGTCTTTTGCACATGGCTCTGGTTTTGGATCTTGGGATTATACTTAAGGAGTAAGCCTGAACTTTGCCCAAAAGAGCTGGAAATTTCCTGGAGGAAATGTTAGATTAAAAAGGATGATTTAGTTTACACACAGAAAGGACATAAAGCCCCCAGCACAAAATTGTATTACTTCTTGTTTCTTCCAGTCTGTGCATTTGTTCCTAGGCAAACCTGGTGCCTTCCATATATTTTGGACTACAGCTCTCAGTGTTCTTGAACATTGGTCATGAGGCTGATAAAAGTTGCTGTACTAAAACATCTGGAGGACACTAGGTAGAGGAATGTGCCTGAGAAATAGGTTTTACACAAGAAGTGGGCCTGGGAGGAATTCCTGTAGTATTTGTACAGTATATGCAGAGAGCATTTTTATCTTATTCCTTTAGCTTTTTTTTTTTTTACCATCAGAATGTTTATATATACCGCATCCTGTTGTTAAATTTAATGCATTCAGTAAGATCATAAAGAATTGCAACCTGCAGAACCATCCTGTTTCTTTTAGAGATCTGCAGCACAAAAGATGATACAGCTATAGGCTTCTCCTCCCTTTGTCTTCATCCATCCAAGCAGCCATCCTGCTTCCTGATTAATCACCCAGTGAGTCAGAACTGGCTCTGCTGGAGCATAGCTAATTTGAGGCTACCAGGGGGTCTGGTATTAATCCCTCCCTTACTCTTCCTTGTTAACATAAACTCTCCCAATGAGCAATCAGTGGCAAGAAGAAGGAGAAGGTACAGAAGGTTCTACTCACTAGGTCCAAAGGGGACAGACCAGGTGAATAAGTACTGGTGACTAATGATGTGTGAGTAGCCTGGTTTGGGACCAGACATCCATCAGATTTTCTTGGCTTGGGTCCCTGGACTCCAGCCCATATTCATTCTGCCCTAAGCCCACCTCATGCTGGGCGTTCATGTTGGCATCTGGCAAGAAATCAGTCCAAGTGAGTCCACAAGGCTGACTTCTGCACATGTGCCTGTGCACTCGCTATACAAATAGATTTATGTTTCTGCATATGTGACTTGTGGACTTTGCATACTTTGCTTACTTTGCGCAAAGAATTACATACTTTGTGTTTTTGCACAAAGAATTATATATTTTGCATACTTTGCTGCAAGAAGCTGCTAGCATTCCTGAGCAGTCATGATCTTGGCTCAGCTTGCTTCTTGGCAGAGCCAATAGTGGGAAAGCCTGGTGGGCACAAGATAGCTGCATTCTGGCCTGATCTTCTCATGCCACTGATGGCAGCCCACTTAAGGAAGCAATCCCAGCTCACTGAGGATCTCTTGTCCAAGCCTGTCCTCCAAACCTAGAACCAGCCATGCAGGGCATTTTTGATTTCTCTAAATAGATGGGGCAAGTAGATAGGTAATAGAAGTCAGGGAGAGGGTAAATCGTAGTTTGGCCTATTCTCCAGCTGCAGGGCTTTTAAACAGGATAGTTATTACCTGAGTTCTTCAGCATTGAACAAGAATGGAAATGACTTGGATTACATTTTCTGTGTTATGGAATGCTTCAGAAATGTTGGAACCAGATCAAAATATGCAAACATCTCTATACTCTGCAGCTAAGCTGAAAGCAAAAGAGAAAATTAAAAATAATAACTCTACATCTGTACTACGTTACTTATTTATTTAGTTAAAATACTTATGTTCTACTTTTCTTCAGCAAGTCCCTGGCCACTAATAACGTAAATGATAACAATAAACATTTGAAAGCACTTTGAGAGAAATAAATCAAATAAAGCTGCTATAAATCTCTAAAATAGAGTAAGCCCTCTTCCCCTACCCATGCACACTTTGAGATGATATCCCAAAGCCACTAAAAGGACCCTCTCTTTAGTCCCAAGTAAGCATATTTCTCAGGATGCTTGAACCCAAGAGGGCCTTTGATTATCTCAGTAGGCATGCAGGTTCCTTTAGGAGAAAGTAACTTCACCCCAAACTAAAAAGAGCTTTAAAGGCCATCACTAGCATTTTAGATTGGCCTGGAAAGAACCTGGAAGGCATTGTAGACTTTTCAATAAGTGAATCAAGTGCCCCCTGTCTGTCACTCTTGTTAATAACCTGGCTTCAGCATTCTGCATCAATTGTAATTCTGTGCGATCTTCAAAAGCAGTCCTATGTAGAGTACATTGCACCAATCCAGTTGTGATAAAATTAAGGCATGTATCAATGTGGCTAAATTTCCAGTTTTCAGGAACAAACATAACTTATGTACCAGCCTAAAACTAAGTAGTTGGTGAAGGCATACTACCATAATCTTTCCTAACACTGAATGAGTTTTGTCCTTTGGCCTTAGTGTAAAGAACTTCAGCTGTAGTGTAAAGATTAATCTTTTCTACAATGAAATCTATATGAGAAAAGAAAGAGTTTATGCACATACCTTGTTTTTTGATGAGGACAAAATCAGAATAAATTTTAGTTTATTGACAGGTCTGAACTTATTTTAAACTGATAATTCACATACTCTCATACTCATGCTGCAACATGCTATGCTATGACTAGAGTGCCTTGAGTCCTGTATTATTCAAGCACACTGAAAGATGAATTAAAATTTACATAGTACAATTGAAATTTGTCTCTGAAAGTTTGCATTTGGTTGCTTTTCTGATGTTCCATTTCAAAAGCTGCCTCGCTGGGCTAAGCTCGCTCTCTGAGTGCCTTGTATGATTGAAAAGAGCCTCTTATTTTCTTTAACAGAATCTCAAATCACTAAGTAATATGATGTAATCTGAAATGATTTTACTATCTTCCTACCCTGTGAACTTCATAGTTGAATATAGAGGTAATGAGCAAGCCAATCCTTTGGGCTTTCCCTAATTCACAGGTTGTTGAAAGAATAAGATAAAACAGAGATAAATTAAATTATTGGCACTACTCATGAGAATGAACACAATAATACGTACAAACATAAAAACAGGGCATGTCAGAAGGGCTCACCTGGGCCATCTAGACTGACCCCTGGCTCCAGCTGTCTCCACTCATGACATGGCTACCATGTGCATGTCCAGCCTATTCTTAAACACCTTCACTGTTGGGGCTTCAACCACCTCCTGTGGAATCCCATTCCATACCCTCGGGGTCCTAACTGTCAGGAAGTACTTTCTGGCATCCACCCTAAATCTTGGTTCCCTGAGCTTTGCTCCATTGAAATGTGTCCTGCCCTCCACTGCAGGAGAAAAAAGGTCATGACCCACCTCTGCGTTGGCACCCCCTCATGTACCTGTATGTCACAGCTCCCCTCTGAGTCTCCACTCAAGGCTGAAAAGACCCAGCTTCCTCGGTCTCTCATATGGCTTACCCTACAAACCAGCCACCATCCTAGTGGCCCTTCACTGCACTGATTCCAACCTTGCTATATTCCTCTTGTAATGAGTGACCCAGAACTGAACACAGTACTCCAGCTGTGGGTGTACCAGAGTCGTATAGAGTGGGAGTAATAGCTCTCTCAGTCTAGAAGCCACGCTTCTATCTATGCATCAAAGGGTGGCGTTAGCCCTCTTGTCCGCTGCTTCAAACTGCTGACTCATGTTTGGCCTATAGTCAACCAGCACCCCAATATCCTTTATCCTGTATTGCAACATAAAGTAAACATAATATTATATACATATATATATTCTGAAAAAACTAAGCTGCAGGGGTTTATTAAAAAATAAAACTGATATCTGTGTATCAGTATGTTGTAAAACTCTTGCTAACTCATTTTGAGATCTTAGAATAGGATAGAAAATATACAGGATTTCAGGTAGTCACATTTATTTATGTATTTCATTTTATTTCTCTACTGTCCTGAATATAATCAGTGGCTATACTTGGCTGGTAGCTCTGAGGAGACTATTCCCAGCCAAGCAGTCATCAGCCTGTACAGAAAACAACATCTCGATTAATATCTATAGCTAATAATTGATGCCTATGCTTAATGAACAATACATAGCTCTTAAGTGTGCAGCATGTGAAATAAGACGGTTTGATACATTTACAGGGGAGTAGATGTAATGTTTGTTTGGAGAATATCTCTTGCAAAAAATGGGAATGTTTTTAGTGCCTTGAAATCTTATTCCCAAAATAAACTTAAATAAAGTCTCTGTTTCTGTTACTTCTAGACATCCTTTCCAGTCTTAATTCACCTGCCCTGTTTGGGGACCAGGACACAGTAATGAAAGCCATTCAGGAAGCTCGAAAGATGAGAGAACAGATCCAGAGAGAGCAGCAGCAACAGCCTCATGGCATTGATGGAAAGCTTCCCTCCATGAATAATATGGGTCTAAACAACTGCAGGGCTGAAAAGGTAACATGTTCTTTTACCATTTCTGCTGTTTGTTTCTATTTGTGATGTTTATCTGGCTAGTGGCCTTTTAACCTCATGTACCTGTTTTTAATTGTGCTTGCTAATGACTAAAATATTTTTTCACTGTGTCATGTAGTTCTATAAAGTAGAATTTCAACTGTATTAGTCAGAATTAGATTCTCAGAGGGGAAAGGGAGTTTAGGGTCCCACATTTACACAAATAGAATATGCTGTATATAATTCAGTAGCCTGGGGAGAGCCTTCTTCGATTAACTGAATACACATAAGGACAGCCCTAGTAGATCAGGAAAAAGATTCATCTGGTCAAGCATCCAGTTTTCTACAGTAGCCAGCTAAAAGTCTCTTGGAAGCCCACAACTGGAGCATACATACAATAATTCTCCCTACCCCTCCACAGTTTGCCTTCAGTGGCACCCTGCTGCTATACATGGAAGTTGTATATGTAACAGACATTGTTGAACTTTCCTCCATAAATTATCCTCTGTAATCCTTTTATCTTAAAAAAAAACTATGTGAGAAGATGTTGTGCGTTAAGGATATATTATAGGTGCTGGATAGCAACTGAAATGGCTGGGAATAGTCTGCCTGACACAGATGAATGCAGCCTATGTAGTGAATTATTCAGATCCAGTAAACTCATAGCCTACTTCATGAGGGGGCATATTTGGGTGACGCAGTGAGCAGTTCCCCCCATACATAAGCTCAACACTACATGGCAGTGGCTGGAAAAATAGATTTTCTGCTAAATTTCAGCAGCAAACCACTATTGAGGTATATTAAGGACCAGCTTCCCATGTGTTTAAGTCAATTATGTCCTTGGTAAATTTCTGTGGCATACTTTCAATTTAGCTTTTTTCCAAGTGTATGGGGGCAGTGGGGGACATGGGGGTGTATTGGGGGGCAACAGGGGTTGCTTATGGTCTATAGGCCACATGTTGCCCTCCCCTGGTTTACACACAGTGGTATGTGAAAGCAGTTGAAAACACTAACAAAAGGCCCAGTCTCCTATAACCAGGTCAGCTGTTACCTCCTCTGTGCAGTTTCTCCATGGGATGACTCTGCATGCAGGATTTTTCAGCCTCTGAACAAAATGCATGCGGTTTGATTGAATGGAACAGCTGAAAAAGAAGTAGACAAACGTATAATGTACAAGCACTGGCTCTTTCCTTTGCATTATCAGCTTCACCAAAACATGGCCTTTTTCATATAGATAGATAGATATTTATATTTTGCTTCTGTTGACTTTTCCTTTTAATCTAAATAATATTTGTCAGTAAGTTGGGAGTCTGTGGTATTGACAGCTGTCTTCGAACAATTTCCTTTGGGAGAAGGAATAGGGGTCTGAGGTTCATTGCGTATAGTTGCATGTACAAAGAGAAATAGAACTCTAAAAGACAAGATATCTCTTCATTTGCATTTTATATATTACCTTATCTCAGAACAAAAGGGGAAAAGGGTCTCTGCCTATAAAAGGGATTTGCTTGGGCCCTCGCTCCCTGAGGATTAACAGTAGTTTGCAAAACAAATTTATAACCCAATCAATATTTATTTACACAAGGTTTTGTTTAAATGATAGCATTTTAAAACTTATTTAATACAGATTACTAGTTTGAAATAATTCTTTGTAACATGAAAGTGAAAGAACTGAAGAGTTGATTTGCAAGTGCCTTATTAAGGCCATCCTTGTGGTTAGGGTCAACAGGTTCTTCAGAAGTCCAGACTACATGTTGCAAATGGATCATAGTTGGGAAATTTTATTGCTTACTTTATAACCCTATGTTTTCAGAAACTGCTGAAAATGGTACCTGTAATTCATTGGCTTCCAGAGCTATATAGGAATCTATGTTATTATGAATAGTGCTGCTTATATTGGTATGAGGACTTTGAGGAATAAGTTGCTAAATAGTGGGTGGACTGATCCATAGTCTACATCATGGGTCCTCAAACTACAGCCCAGGGACTGGATCTGGCCCATTTGGCCCTGCCACGCGTATGCCCACACCCACCGCCGCCCATCTCGCCCCGTGCACAGGGAGGTAGCAGTCTGATCACTCGGCGAAAACAATCTCCAAGCGAGCAAGGCACTGCCTCATGCTCCCGCCTCGCAGCGTGGGCCTGCCCACCCCTGCCTCACCTCGCCTCCCCTTGCCATGCACGCCTGCTCCCGCCTCAGCACGCATGCCTGCATGCACCACCCTTGCCCCCGCCCCCGTGCGGCCCGCACACACCGCCGGCAGCACCTTTCCGGCTTGTGCCCAGCACCAGCACCTTTCACCTGGCCCCCTGGTGAATAAGTTTGAGGGCCCCTAGTCTACATGATGCGATAATTTGGCCATCAGTGTAAAATTGGCTGCATCCTGTGTTTTGAAGACCAAGCTGTTAGGTTTTGAAGTTGTTGCATTTTGCCGGGACCAGTATTCAATACCTCTTTTCAAAGCAACCTCTTAAGATTTTCATCCAAAGAGTTGTTTCTGCAAAGGACTACCTACTGAATAAATGTAAAAATATATATTTTCCTTGCCTGATGATTACAATTCAAACAGTGACTGGGATCTACTGGCCTTTTATAGGTTCTAAGTTCAGATAAATGTTTAATTGTACTGTGTAAATGAAGAATTACTCAAGTTCAAGCCATAGTCTCAAAACCTAACTATAATCAGCTTTGAAATTGTGACATTTAAAGCCCATCCGTATTTGCTTTAAATATAGGAATGTTAAAAATTCTTAAACTTTCTTGGGAATATTTTTTTCTAAAACCATAGTATGTGTCTTTTTTAAAAAAATCTAAAAATTTGACAATCAGGTGTTACAATATGATTTAGACTATGAAATACAGTGGATCATGCTTCAAACAGGCATATCCACAGATAAATCTGGTGCAATAAATATGAAAAGGAAGACAGGGAAGGTGAAATGCCAATAAACTCTGAAAGTTGATTAAGTGAAATTATACAAAAATATCAGTGGTATGGAAGATGGTGATGGAGCCTCTCTATTTGGCTTGTACTCAGTAAATATTCCCAATATTCTAGTACTTGAGAATAAGAAAGATGAATGTAATTTGTAATGCCAGGATTAGCACAATACATGGTCCAATTGACTATATCATTTGATTCTGATGTATTAAAAAATCTTGTGCATGTGTGTGTGTGTTTTGGATTAGAATAGATTATGAGAACTAGGATTCTTGAGATAAATATATGAGCATACCTAGCAAAGAAGCTAAGAACGTTCTTATGGGGTGGCTGGAAAGGTTATCAGTTAGCCCATGCTGTGATATATTTTTCAACTGTATGCAGAATCATTTCAGGTTGTGGTCATGTGAGCTCTCAGTATTGAGCAGATTTTGGAGTATTAAACCTGTCATCATCATATTGAAATTAATAAAGAAAGAAAGGGTTTTTTTGGGGGGGGGCAACATAGTATATCATATAAGAATCAATGAATGCAATCTGTTACATATGTGTCCTTGCAAAACTCTTACGGGAAAGTGCTCCCATCAACAAATTTACAATCCAGCTTAAATTTCCACTTTGCATGTTTGTATGTCTTCTTTTATCTGCACTAAAGTTTAACATATATTTGATGCAAGGAAACGGAAACACTGTTTACAGTATAATCTGTTTACAGAAAAAATCAGGCTAAGAGTCCCATCCTATCCATTTTAAGACAGAAAAATGTCTCATCACTCCCAGGCTTCCCCAGGCAGTCATGCTTTTTTCTGTCTACACTTGTTTAGGATTGTGCCTTGCCTTGCCTTGCCTTTATGTTTAATGTTATTTATATTTATAATATTATTATCTCCCCCATCTCTAAGGCAACTACCAACAATAAAGTAATCTAAAGCACATTACAACAACATTATTAAAGTAGCAGCAGTCAAGTCCTTATTAAAGACAATATTCTAGAAAGTCTTACTGCAATAATACCACCATTTCCACTTGTTGAAAAGTGAACAGTGACGGTACGAGGATAATGTCTTCTGAGAGTCTGTTTGGATGCCACATACAAAAAAACACCCTCTTTCTGGTGCCACTTCCAATCATAGGGTGACCAGGGCATTTACAAGCTCAGGAACACGAATATAGGGGAGGTGCTCCTTAAAATACTTGCTCCCAGTCCCCTTAAAGATTTAATTCTTAAATCATGCCTAAAAACAAAGCAGAAACTAGGGTAACTGTGTGATGTGATTCAGTCCATTGGCCTGTCAGAATCCTACCAGTTGCATTGAACCAATTTCACTTCTGGGCTGTCTTTTAAGGCAGCCCCCTAAAGCTCATTCAGGTACTCTGTATATTCTAGGAGCTTGTCTCACGACTTATTCCCTGCTATGTATGTCTTCAAATGATCTTCCATTATACATGCTTGCATAAGTCTTAGGGGCTTGTATGTAAAATTTAGCTTGGACAGTTATTTTATACATCATCCAAATTGCATAAGAGCAAGATCTCTGGCAATGTTCTTAATTCACAGACAGGACTATATGGAGGTAAAATAACTTGGTCCTAAGCTAATTATCTTCATTATTATTTAACACAAACCTCTCCAAGCAGTGGTTCATGCTGCTCTCTCTTTTCCCAGTACATTCAGTTTCCTCTCCATCAGCTGTACACTGCTCCATTTCAACTAAGCCAGTCTTGTTGCTCTTTGCATATTGGACTTCTCTCCCACTATAGCCAATCAACTGATTGGTCCAGAATCTTCCTCTCTCCACTGCTTTACAGTTGATGTCCCAGCCTGCCCCTTGAGATTGGAGGCAGAGGTCCTTCTCTGGGAACACTCTTTGAAGGAAATCAGGAGGGTAGCTACTTGGAGAAGGCCCTTTTCAATAGTGCCCAGATTGTGCAATATGATCCCCAGGGAGGGTCACCTGGCGCCGTCACTTTACTCTTTTCGGCATCAGGCAAAGACCTTTTTTATTCTCCCAGCATTTTAACAATGAATTGGTTTATCCTTGTTTTTATCATTATTTATTGCAT